CACACACACACACACACACACACACAACAAAACAAAAAAAAACCAAACAAAACATACAATTCGATAGGAGTGTCTCTGCCGTTAGCAAGGCCACAATAAAATGAGATCATTAGAAACATTTATGGCATCCATTTATCACAACTTGACTTGTACCCCTCCCCCTTCCAACCTCTCATTCAGCCACAAAACCCACCTCAAGATGTTCAAAATAATCAAACTACAACACGAAATAAATGACACCCATTCCCCTTCCTATTACTTACAGACATGGACGGTTCTGAGGGGCAATAATGTAAAGAGACAAGACATGCACACTACAACACTCATGAACACACACAAATACACACACACACAGATACACACACACACACACACACACACACACACACACACACACACACGCGCGCGCGCGCGCACATGAACACACTCAATATTTATATACAAACAGACACACGCATACACACGTATAGTAATATGTAAACTCAAAAACGCATAAACACACACATGCAAACATACACGCATAAACATGCTACTCACAAACGCCAGCTCACACACAAAAGTACAGCAATGCACCGCCTTCTCCCCCATTGAGTCAAGTTGTATGATAATGACTTCACACTGGTTGTTCGATTTGAGCTGTAACAAAATAAAACGGAATTCAGAGAGGTGGGGGTTGAGTCTTTGAAGATAGTTTCCCCTCTTCTCGTCATGTTTTTGAGTTTGGTGGGGGCTCGTTTTACATTGCATCAAGGTTGAAACGTATACGCCCTCGTACTGATAGAGTGTGTCTTGGTTGAAACGAATTGTTGTTGATGTATTTATGAGTCATAAATCTGCCCAGAAAAGACTGCCAGGCTGCAAGTCATTGCTCCAAGGAGACACACCTCTGCCGCAAACCTAGCACAGCGAATTTGCATTTTCTTATCGAAGGCCGTTTGTCTTTCTTTTCGATAGAACAATACAGCGTGGGGTTTTCGCCTGCATAAGCATTGTCAAATTATCTAAGAGACAAGGCTTCCTCATTTCATGCTCTTCAAGGACCTTAGGACAAGAACAAAACTGAGTGGGTGGGGACTACTGAGACGCCCGAAACTCCAGATGTTTAATTAAGAATTGCCCGTTTGGAATCAAACCAAGGACGTCCATCCATACAGAATGACGCCAATTGAGACCCCCCCCCTACACACCTTTTGTTTTCTTTCAGATGCACCCCAGACCAATCCCCTTAAAAAAATAAAAACAAAAATGACAATACAACAACAACAACAACAACAACAACAACAACAACAACAACAACAACAAAATAAACAACAACGACTGAAGCAACACACACACAC